TCGCTGTCTCTTTAATGTATTGATTCGGTTCAGTCTTCGGAATATAGTGTTTATTTCTTTTTTTAGTAATAAGAAAAATGCCTCATGAATCATTAGTTTATTCATATTAATTTAAAAATAAATTTTTTTTTTGAACGATGATATTTCTCGATTTTTATAAAATAATAAAAAGGTTTGATCATCCTTACCTGATTGAATTGTTGAATCCCAATTTAGATAATTGATGTTTTAATCAATCTATTTAAGAGAAACAATTATATCTGGTCGAGTTACAAGCATTTTATAATTCTGAACGGTTGAAACACATAAATTACATTAAAAAAAATTCTTTAATATTGTAAATGTCTCATTATTAAATAAAATATATATATATACCTTCACTGTTTTCATTTCAAAGTCATTATAGTTATTCTTATTTCACCATTTATCTAACACATTTTCTATGGTTGACTCGTTTCTCTCCATTGGACTCAATTTTGATCTTACAATTCTTTTTGCTTGCTCATGTTTTGGCCTTCCCATCATTAGCACTGTTGAAAAATGAAAAATTAAATCTATTGTAAGTTATCAGAAGCAAAATCTTCATCTCCAATCAATCCGAAAATACTAAATCGTCCTTCTGGTATCCTTCATAAAGAACAAGATCAGAAAATTACGTAAACCACGAAATTTTCATAAGGCAGTCATCAATTACTGACATTGCTTTTGTTGTTCTTCAATCAAAGTAGCCTTATCAATCAAAACAACAAAAAATAACGACAGCAAATAATGGTATTTACTTTGCTGTGTGGAAGATTCATAATCTGATTCCTTCTCGAAATTCAATAGACCACACAACTCGATCTTTTCAGCAGGATTATCTATGCGTATATTTTTTTAAATGTAAATGAGGAGATTAATTATTACGCGTTGGGTAGGATATGGTAATTTGCATGACTTGTTTTTAAAAAATTAGTTGAGCGTAAAATTTTTTAAAAAAAAAAAAAAAAAAAAAAATAGAAAATCAGTTTGAATTTATTCCGAAAGTAATGGTCAGATAACGGAAATTAGACCCACACCGACCAGGAAATGACTGATCTTTAGATGATCTTGCGGAATTAGTTCCTACTTAAGTATACAAATGAAGCAAATGTGATGGTGGTTTTAGTGAAACGATCCTTGCCGGCTAAACAACATATTGCAAAAAGTGGAGAAAATGTAAGCTCTTTTATCAAGCCAAATTGGTATAATAAACTTATTCTGTTGTTTGTCAGAATCGAAATGGTTTTTACCTGAAAATTTTAAAAAAAATAACGAATTAAGATCACGATATTGGTAACTAGTTATGGATCATATGATCTGTAATGTGCATATTCCATAATTAGTGATCGATAATGAAGATCATGAATCCCACAATTTCACATCTTTTCACATTTCAATATAAATTAGTGCAGAATCCATCTGCTAGTTCACATTCACACTTGTGAGTGCTTAAAATTCCTCTTTGTGGAGGTATCGGCTGACTCTTGTCTTCGGATAAAGATTTTAACGAGGTAAACTGCGCTCCCTGTTTTACCAAAGTTTTAATGAAACAGTTTATAATATCGTTAGCATAGCGAGGCTCAAGGAATAGTCGCTTAAAGGAATTTGCTTCCCTAGACATGGAATGCGAGTGTGTCACTCCCTGCTAACTTTTACATTATTTATTTTCTTATAATAGATAATCTTGCCTTGATCTTTCATACGTTTCGATTTTTCACCATGAGTGATAACATTTATATATTATAGTTGGTGATGTGATAATTGGGTGGCAAAGAATTATTAATTGATACTATTTGATGATGATCAATATTTCAAATCACTGAATTGCTCGTTCAAAATGAAAATAATTTAATAAAATCTTATCTAATGTCTATAAAAGTAGTTAAACAAAATTTAAATAATGAAAATAATAACAGATTGAATCAACCTTCAGTCACAAATCTAAAAAAAAATTTTTATCATTGCTAGAAAAAAGCTTTATCGAATGGAATAATATTTTCTATAATTTTTTTTTATGAATAAATTAGCATTTATTAAAAACGAAAATTACAAACAAAGTAAATGATATATTTTAAATGAATCTTCTTCTATTCGAATTTTTTCTAAAAGATTTATAAAATTCTTTTTTCAATCACGGTTTTTGGTTTGTTGCTAAACTTTTAATTTATCTAGTTATCAATAGAAATTTAAATGTTATAAAAACCTTAATACTCGATTATTATATTTTCTTGTAATGAGCATACTTCATACAAAACCTCTTTCGACATAAATCGGGGGTCTCGGTTAGTTCAAATGGCTCCTGTATGAAAAGTCACATGACTTAAAATAACGCGATAATTGACACATGATAATCCAACTTTGTGTTCAGTTAATACTTTACAATGGTAAACTGTTTATTATTGGAGGTGAACAATATTAAAAAGAGGCTATTTACATCACAAATTCAAGGTATATTTTCTATAGGTTAGCAGTAACCGACATAAATCAACAAAAAAATTTTCAAATTAATATTATAAATTTTACATTTTATAAATGACATCATTGTAAGGAAGGAGATGTTGAAGAAAAGTTGAATAAGTCGAAAGAAGAGGGATTAGACGAGTTAGTGAACAAGTCGCTGGAGGATCGACGGACAGAAAAAAAGGGAAGCGCTGAATGACAAGTTGGAGAAAGAAAGTGGTGAGTTGAAAGGAGGATGAAACCAGGTAGTTTGAGTGATGGAAATCTCGACAAGGAAAGATAGGAAATAAATAAATAAATACTACATTTAATTTATATACGTATCATTCATTTGTGGGAATATTTGGCAAATTTTATCTAAGTTTGTAATGCATACATCTCATTTACTGATGATTTAATATTATTAATCTTTCACCTTTACCAATATTTACTTCTTATTCCCAATGTTCTCAACTTTTTTATTTTAATCATCGACTACGCAATTGCATTCACTCATCCATAAGCTTCGTATCCATTCATCCCGACAATGTCTTCCATACCCGACAAATGAAAAGGAAATTTATACTCGCGACTTCTCTAATTAGTCCTCTATTTTGAATTAATTATATATCTATATCATTTAGTTTGTATTTAATTTTTTTGTAAAACAATATTTTGAACTTTCAAACAATCGAATAAAGTTTTAATTTTTTTGCCTTCTCTTTCGAGTTCTATATATTTTCTACATTTTTTTTTTTATTTTAAGATGTTAATTAATATATTGATAAATTAATTATAGTGTGGAACATATAAAATTTAAAATTTTATATGAATATTTTTCACAACGAATATTATTATAATGAGAATAGTTCGCATCAACTTTATTAATTTAATAATTTAAAATAAAATAAAGTTTAACTGTATAATCTTTTCTAACTTCACTGTTTTCTCAGTTATTGTCTATATAAAGTCAGGACATTCATTGAAGAAAATAATAAACTACTCTTTCTTAAAAAATAAAAAAAAAATAAAAATAGAAATACGAACGAACCGTTATTAGTCGCAGATTTTTTCATATAAATCAGACGATAATAGACCGTTTAAATGAATAATAGAAAACAAAAATCAAAATTTAAATAGTTGCTATTTGCACGTCAAAGCAATTTTTTGTTTCTGAACTTTGATGAATCTTCATACGAAAGCACAGTAGTTTTTTTCAAACTTCATTAATGACCTTTCAAATATTTTTTCATTTTTTTATCTTTATTGAATGCGCATTACTTTCAAGACAACGTATAAAAGAATTTTTCGATATTTAAGAATTTTGGGTTAGTCTGCTTACACGTTTACAGGGATGTGAAATACTAACGAACATGGTAAACACCTTTTATGCGGTATTAATAGTAGAGTTTATATCCGTCCCGATTATCTTGTATCCGTCCAATCCAGATATCCAGCCAATTTACCTGGATAATATCCGGATATCCAGGATAACTTTTAAACGAATTTTTTATTTAAATTTTTTTTTATTTTAATTTTGTAAATGTTAAGACTGGGGTTAGTAGAAATAATTTTGATTTTGATATCATTGCCGATCAATATTTAAAATATTCAACATACAACAACATAATCGTATTAATTTTTAACAATAAATAATAGAAATTGCAATAAATAGAAGATAATATTTAACATGTTTGTTTTTTAAAGTATATAATTAATATACAATGATTGATTAATTTAATAAGATAAAAATTGTTGATAGTCCAAGACATATAAGACAGATCATTGATCGAAGTGAATAATAATGATTGTAAATTATTTAAATAAATAAAAAATTATTAAAACCTACTACTTTTATCTGAAATTTTTTTTTCCCGATAATATAAATCTGGTCGAAACTATAAAAAATATAGAAATCGACGATTTTTCCAAAAAAAACCTTGCGCCTTTTATTTCTTTTTATCCAATGTCAGTTTTAATTTTTTATTTTTTGGTTTCATTTTTGGTTTAGGACTCAGTTTTTCGGATCGCGCGATTGAATATTTTCTTTTTTATTTTTGGATGGCTCTCTTCCTTTCTTTATGTTTCTCTTTCTTACGTGTCTTAGGTAATTCGGTTTTTTTTTTTTTTTAAACAATCAATAAATTATTTGTTCTTTTCAATTTACATGATTGATTTTTAATTATTATAATTTTTGTATTTTTAGTTTCTTTTCGATTCGTGACGGAGGGTCTTTTCGAGTTGCTTTGCACTAAGGCTATTATTATTATTATTTTGTTAAATATTTTTTTTTATTATTTCCTCTTTTTTTTTGACGATTTTGAATCGTCGCTGTTATATTTCTACAAAATCAGGAGAAAAATGAATTACGTAATAATTATTTATTATTTTCAAGCAGACTAGTTTATTTATGAAATTTATGGAAACAATGGCAACTGGGAAAAAATTTAACCGAGGGCTGAGTAAACTATTGGTAATTTTCTATGCAAGAAAAAAAAATAAAAGCACCCCAATCCGAAAAATGATTTCAAAAAAATAAAATGGTTTTAAAAAAAAATTTAGAAAAATACCTAAATGACTTAGAAATGAGAATTAAGGAGTTAGAGCAAAATAACGAAGCGTTACGTTCACAATTTAATAATTTAGAAGAAAAGGTTAAAGAGCGAGAAGTAGAAACCAAAGCCAAGC